TAATTGCTAGTCTGAGACCAACTAGCGGCAATTAGTTGTCGTCGACATGAATGCTCTTACAACTGGCCTTAACTCGTTTCCATGGAAATAACATCACGTAATAAGAAACATGTGTCATGTGACTTTATAATTAAGCAAAATGGAAGCGAACGAAGACACCCACGTTTCAAATCTTGATGGTGAGCACTAACCCTAACCCTAGCCCACAATCCTCAGGAACAATCACGTGCCCTAACCCTGTTAACAACTCTTGCACTTTGACGAAATCTGCTGGTGGCCTTAATATTTGGGGTGCTTCTTTTAAGGTATTCGCCATTTTGTTGATTAGGCGATGAAAGAAATATTAGTCACGTGTCAAGTGTTATCGCTATCAGTTCTGAGTCGACATGAGCGCTCTGAATTCAGTTGCTCTCAGTTGTCCTCAGTTGTTGATATGTTCGACATAAGCTCACCTGCAAATAACTGGAACTAGTTGCTTTTGAGTTGGGGGTGGGGAGGGGGGTGGATGGCCGAATGGTTAGCACGTGCGCGCTGCGCTGTATCATACGGTCTGTCATTGAGTCAACTGGCGGGGTTTGGAATCCCCGGTTGTACGTGACAAGGAGTAGGGTCGCCTGTCCAACCTCGTGGGTTTTCTCCGGGTCCCCCGGTTTCCTCCCACTGCTAAAGACCCTACGCGCAAGCGAATTATTGAAATAAAATTGAACCATGTGTTAGTCCCGAAATGATCTAATTTGTGTCGAGTGGACGTTAAACCCCATTTCTCTCTCTCTCTCTCTCTCTCTCTCTCTGCTTTGCCCCCCCCCCCTACATGTTTTAACAGTTTTACGTACATATCTATGCTAACGCGCAAATCGAAATGCCTGTATTATTACTGTATTTATAGGGTCAAAATACAAATAATTTTTCTAACCTAAAGATCGATTTGTTTTAAATTTTCTTTCTCTTGACAAAAAACACGTCTTGTGGGCTCGACAACGTACTCAGTAAACTACAATTCTATATTATAACTATTTGTATACATACACTATGAAAGATACCGATATCTTCAATAACCCATTGTAAGAATAAACTTAAATTTCCGTACAACGCATACTTATCACGAAGTAGAAATGGTTCCACTACTGATTTCTCCCGTCTTGCCCTGACGAAGGGGCTGGCAAAGACAGACATCTCGTGTACACAATCGAGTGATCGTAAAAGATCCCTTGGCAGTTGGAATTTGATAGGCGGTAGCGCCGCTGTCCGGGCAAAATTTCCCTCACAGCACACTGTATGAGTGTATCGATTGTAGCGGTTGACAAAACAAGACGCCGCTAAAATATTGCAGCTAGGGTAGAAGTACTGTAAAGGGGGGCTCAGATCGACCTTACGACGCGACTCAACTGGTCGCCGACTGGTTTTCCGGCGACTGCCGGCGATCGTCGCACAATTTCCGTCGCCGATTCTAGTCGATCTGAATCTAGCTACGACCGTCGTGCGACAGTTTTTCACGATTTGCGACTGAGTCGCAGGAGTTGAACATGTTCTACTTCTACGACGCGACGGAACCAGTCGCCGACTCGTCATCGTCGATGTGTGCGTTTCTACAATCGGTTGCCGACTGCGCTATAAACTTTAGCCAATCAGAGTGGCGAATAAAAAATCAACATGGCGACCTCATGGACGACCGAATATAAATCATATCAAATAGAATCATAAACAAAAATGTGAATCCCTCGAGGTAATTTAAATTGCTTTCTCACTATAATTTCGCTAATTAGATGGAGAGATTATGGAATAATTAGGCATGTTTTGTATTTTTATGGGGAAAATTTGTGTGCGCGTACCTGCATTCTGTGTGGCGCCATTTTGAACGAGTCACATGATCTATTCGTGAAGACGCCACAAGTCGGTGTATCGGTGTCGATGTGAGCGCGCTCGCGTTCAATCGTACGACCGATAGCAACTGGTCGGCGATCATTGCTGAATTCGATCTGAGTGCAATCTACGATAGTCGCCGATCTGAGCCGGGCTTTATTCCTGTAAATAGCGGTACGTTTAGATTTGCAAACGAAAAGACATCCTTACAAAATACTCAGAAATTATCTAACAATTTAAATATATACAAAGTTAAAAGCAATACAAATATTAAAATTAAAGGATAGTTCAGAGACGATGTAAACTACATTTTAATGATGCGATCATACGCTCTTGGAATGTAAATTCCTGGGTCCCTGTTTAGTTTTGGTTCATGCCTGCGTATATTAATAGCTTCATTGGTTCTTCGGTTTCGTTTGTTGTGGCAATTAACAGCTAACTTTTGACGTTAGTCCAGTTCACTCGGTGGCGCGGGTTTTCAAATAGGTGTTCGGCAATGGCAGATTGGTTAGTGGGTGTTTTCGACATGTGTTCTTTAATTCTGATGTCTAAGGGCCTCTTCGATTCTCCAATGTATGATTCCCCACAGCTGCAGATGACTTGGTAAACACACCCTTTTGGGGAGATGGGTTTGGTGGGGGTTATCTTACCATTTGCTTTTATTAAATCCTTGGTTGTCTTGCCTTTGAGATATGTGGTTTCTATCTGCGCTTCTTGTTTTAATAATCTTCTAATTTGGTGGGAGATGTTTCCGTGGAAGGGTATAAACACTCGTATAGGGGCTTTAACAGGTTTTAGTTTATCTGGTTTTGGTAGGTCGGATAGTGTGGAATTAATAATCTTTTTGACCATCTGTAGCTGATACCCATTGTGTTTGGTGAAAACGTCTGTAAGGTGTTGTACTTCGTGGGGGAGTGTTTCAGGGTCACAAATGTTTTTGGCTCTTTTTGTTAGGGTGGCGACGACGGCTGCCTTAGTGCTGTTAGGGTGGTTTGATTTATAATGAATATACTGGTCCGTGTGGGTTGGCTTTCTGTATACTGAGGTAATTATTTTAGAGTCCTTTCTTTTAACTAGTATGTCTAGGAAAGGAAGACTGTTGCTGGTTTCATTCTCCATGGTGAACTTGATCCTTGGGTGTTGGTTGTTCAAATGGTGTAGTAGGATACCCGCATCATCTTGTTCTTTCATCATGACAACTACGTCGTCAACCTTACGAGACCAGAATAAGGGTTGGAATGGTGCGGTTTCAATGGCTATTTCTTCCAGTGACGTCATGAAAATTTCTGCTATCAGGGGGGATAAGGGACTGCCCATTGGTAACCCATGGATCTGTTGGTAATAGTTGTCTCCCCATGTGAAGTATGTAGATTCCAGGCATTGCTTGATTAGACAGATGATGGTATCGACTTGTAAAGATGTTTCCAGTGGCGTAGAGAGTTGGCGGATGCGGGTTTCTAGGACTTTGAGGGCATCTTCTCTTGGCACATTGGTAAATAGATCAATAACATCGTACGAGAGCATTTTCCCTGGGTTTCTTATCTCTTTGAGTTGGGCGCAAAATTCAGTGGAGTCTTTAATGAACGAATCTGCCATTTTCCCTAGTGGTGAGAGTAATTTTGAAAGATACTTGGCAGTATTGTAATAAACTGAGTCTATGGAGCATATCAGGAGTCTGGCTTTAATTGGATCTTTGTGGATCTTTATTGATGCTCTAGCGTATGGTGAACAGGGGTGGTCTGGTTTCAGTCTGTTATGGATGTTGTCGGTGATCTTCTCCTCTTAACAGAGTGATTTCAAAAGCTTAGCATAATCTTTAACATGGTTATTGGTAGGGTCTTTCCTAAGGCGTCGGTAGGTTGAGGTATCATTGAGTAGGTCTTTCACAAGGGTCTGGTATTCATCTGTGTTCATCACTACTGTTGCCTTACCCTTGTCAGCAGCTACAATGGTTATCTTTGGATCACTGCGAAGGTCTTTTATAGCCTTTTTCTGTTGCAGAGTTATGTTTCTGAACTAACAGCTGCATTTTAAAATGGCTTGGACACTTTGATTTGGAACAAAAATAAAACTTGATTTTTTTGTGGACTATATTATGTCAAAGTTGAAAATCTTACATAGATATAATGATACAATGAACCGTTATAGTTTTCCACTGTCGACCCCTACGCGCAAGCGAATTATTGAAATAAAAATTAAACCATATGTTAGTCCCGAAATGACCTAGTTTGTGTCGAGTGGACGTTAAACCGAATTTCTCTCTCTCTCTCTCTCTCTCTCTCTCTCTCGCCTCTTTAAGCTAGGAAATAAATAATTCAAACCCCATGAAAGAAATAGAAATAATATTTGGTGTGTGCAAGTAAACGTAAACATAGGTATTTTTTTCTTGGCCTCATGACATAATAACTTCAGTCTTTTTATATCTTTATAATGCAAAATACAATTTCAGACCAACTAGACAAAGATATGAAGCGTGTTTAATAATAAAAAAAAACTGTAATTCCCTTCATCGCCTGACTATATTTTACCCCGCATCTGCCAAACTGACGCATTAACTACGTTTTCCACCCGATAATGTGCGCAATAATTATACCAAAAAAACAACAACAAAAAACCCCAAAAAATAAAAAAATAAAAATAAATAAAAAAATACATAGCGAAATGATAGCTATGTCTGAATCTCTCGGAACCGTACATAGATCAGCAAAAAAAACGACGACATATTTTAATACAGGAAATGGGTGTTGACGCTGTACTATGAATATTTAGAGACTAGCATACCAAGAATGTATTATATATGTTAACAATTATAGCGGAATCAGTCTGTAACCAATATTAGTAATGATCGGAAATAAAATAGGGTTTAACGTCCTACTTGTCTGTACCAACCAGGGGTAATGATGAGTGTCGTGCAAAACCAATGCATGCAGGGAGGGGAGCGCAAAACACTTCGTGTTGTAGGCACTCCACACTGGTTAAATTCCCATATCCGGACTTATACAAAAGATAAAAGTATGAATTCGAGAGGCGTTGCCTTTGTCATTTTGTAGGTGTGGATAGCCACGACAAACTGTCCATAAAATACACAGCTACGCAGTTTACATCCTATCATTAATTAAACATATCTAGATATCAAGATATTAAACATTGATTGCGCACGTAGTTTGTTAGACTAACCGCTATATAAGGACGTAACTCTAGTAATTCCTAACTACTCATCTAGTCATAGAACAAGGACACACTGACAACTGCGAACCAACAGGGTTGGATCTATATACGGTAAGTACATATATATATTTTATTTAATTTTTTATCATATATCAGATTTTTATATAATTGTTGTAAATATATGTGCGACATGAAAATATTGCAATTTAATTAGAACTTAAATACGGTAATAAATTAAATATTAAAATCGATTTTGATATTAATGCAACTTAACAGATCATTTACATTCTTCGCATTATTTTTTTCCTTGGTATTGATGTTTCCTGTTATTCTATTTTCATCAGTGTATTTGTTTTTACGTATGTGTTTATAATGATTTTGAAAGACATTGCGGACCCATGTACTTGATATGAAATATATGTTTGTCTGTTATTGCGTGTAATGTCTGTGCAGTTTGTCTATTCAGACGGGTATAAATAAAATGAGGTTTAACGTCCTACTGTTCTGCTCCTATACTGGGCTAATGAAGACGGGCATACGCCATACAGTGTGCTATGAGGGAAATTTTGCCCGGGCAGCGGCACTATCGCCTACTCTTATATCGAATTCCAACTGCCAAGGGATCTTTTACGTGCATTCCAATGTATACACGGGACCTCGGTTTTTCGTCTCATCCGAAGGACTACAGACGGGTATACTTATCATCCGTGGCAAATGCGACTTAAGGAAATACCAGACAGGTCGTTAAAGACGTCATTGTTAAAATTCGGGAAAATATTATTAGGATTATTTCGACTTAAGAATTATATACTTCCTTCTTCTTAAGTCAAATTTCCTCATCATCTGTGGGAAAGTTAACTTGAGACATTTCCAAGAAAACAATTAACCGAAATTCTGAAAACCGATGCTAACGACATTGTTACAATACATAACTATAAAAATCCATTACAATTGGTCATACCCAATGTTAAAGGCAGCCTAGCCGCCCTAGAATGCAAAAAGCGTACTTCATACTATGACGTCGTACTTCAATTGGCGGAATATTAGAATTTTTCGAAGAGCGTAGCCCCAAAGAAGGGGAACACCAAGATGAAATGCCCTTGTGAAAAGATTGACAATTTCGAGTGGGGATCACGTGGCTAAGTGGGTATGACGCTGGCTCGCTAGCCTGGAGGTCGGGTGTTCGATCCCTGCATTGGCCGAGAAAGTTCATCCAGATTTTCCGGCGTGGTTCCCCCTTGTCAGTGATGCAGAACAGAGGAGCTGACAAGGACAGCTGTCTAGTCCCTCGGATGAGACGAAAAACCGAGGTCCCGTGTATGTATACATTGGAATGCACGTAAAAGATCACTTGGAAGTTGGAATTCGATATAAGCGTAGGCGATAGTGCCGCTGCTCGGGCAAAATTTCCCTCATAGCACACTGTATGGCGTATGCCCGTCTTCATTAGCCCAGCATAGGAGCAGAACAGTAGGACGTTAAACCCCATTTCATTTTATTTCGATTCAAAAGCAAACTCTTAGAACTGCTAGATGAACAACAGTGTCGAGTGCCGGTCGGTTAGTGGGGAAACTGGTATATCGTCTTTCAAATACAGCGTGATCATCACCCAAAAGAAACCTTTATTCTTTTTACATCTTTAAACAGGTCCGCTTCCAGGAATATCAGATAGATGTGGTGTGATAAAACTAAGGAATGATTCCAATATATTGATAGTACTGCTAATGTGTATACGAAACAATCCAAGATATGAAAAACATCGAGCAAATATCTTAGTAAAACTATATATGCATGCAAAATAATACATACAGTATTTGCTTATGCAGCCTGTGTAAAATAATCCTTCTACGTTACGTTTTTAATCGTCATTTTGATCGTAATTATTGTAACGAGTAAAATGAATCCCGAATTAAAACGACCAAATTCCCCAAATTTTCCTCATAGCAAACTGTATGACTGTAGAACAGTGGGACTTTAAACTATACTTAAAATTGCATTTCATTTTATTCGCTCACGCGTGGAGCCGCGGTGGCTCAGTGAGTAAGATTCTCGTTAACCAGGAACTCTCAGGTTCCCTCCCAATGTCAGCCGAGCAAGTCGCTCGAGATTTCCCAGCGCGGTTTCTCCCCCTTGTTAGTGGTGCAGGACGGAGGCCTAGAAATACATTGTCCTTCCAGTGATTACTTATTATTACCACTGAAACATCAGGGGTAATGTAATGATCAATGGTTATTCGTTGGTGATGGAAAACCGCCACAAATTAATCGTCGATGTACATAGTTTTTAAATCAATCGGAAAAGAATGGTATATACGTCTAGACCCACAGACCTTGCAGGTAGTTAAAAAATTGGATTAATCGAATTTCAGCTTCCCTATCAATTAATGGGCTTGGTTGATTTCGACCAGTTTTTTGCTATAAGATTTATTGATTGAAATTTTAATTTATCTGAATTTTTCAGCCAATTAAACGACCAAACTCGGCGGAAATATTCTAATTCTATCCTCTGTAATTTAAAGATGCGTTCCCAGAAAAGTATTTATCGGGTGGTTATTTCCAATAAAAGTATGGTAATTTTGGTATATATGGAAAGTAGAGATATCCAATCTTACTAGAAAAATACTGGATTCCCCGAAAAAGACTCATGGAGCGTATACAGGACAAAATGTAAGGGTTCCCCTAATCAACAGCCCGACGATTAGGAATTTCTGCACGCGTGATGTCAAAGGTCACACGCGAACATTGAGCGCTTGATGTAAAAGTTGATAAACTTTATGAAGAGTTAGACGTACAACACATTCTGAGATAAAAATGACGGGAAAAGACGCGGGTAGTGGATAATCCGAGAATTTAATTAGGATTCGATATTTGTAATAAATAGTAAGCAATTAAAGACAACATCGTCTTATGTATGCAATGAATTCTCCTCTGACTTCCAAGAGAGGTAAGTCACGTGACGTAAACATGACCTGGTTTGATTGAATTTTTATAGCAGGACATTCCTTCGAAATTACAATGTTTGAGAAGGATTTGAAGCAAAATTATGACAAATTAATTAGTTTGAATATGTTTTTAGTCCCTATATACCATTAAATCACCCAGTTTGTACGCGGGAACCCATCTTTAAACACAAGATGGTGTAAAACAATATCCCATTTACCTTTGTAAAATATTTTCCTTTTCTGGATATAGAAGATTCTATTATTAGGAAATATTATATGATAGGTGTCTAGTACAAATACAGAACAATCCTAGAGAGAGAGAGAGAGAGTTGGAAGGGCAGGAGTAATTTCGGCTCAAACATTCTACTTGGTGCTTAAAGGCTCAATACCACTCTTGTTGTAACTGAATAATATGTCCCAATCTTTATTCTGGTCAACAAATTGTACTATTTTACAATATTCTAATTAATTGATGATACAAATTTCATCGTAACACACCTAATTTAAAAAAATGGAAAAATTCAACTAAATGATTTGAAAGTCCTGACGTGAAGCTTTTCAAACGCGACTTGGGTTTAAAAATATTTTTGAATCCTCTGGACAAGTAAAATAGGATTTAATGGATAATTTACACAACAGGTAAGACACTAACACATCTAGTACTTAGAATAAGGCTATTTTTTATTTTCTGGAGCTGTCAAGCCAGCAAGAGTGTTATTGTCCCTTTAATGTCTTATTTAGGAGTGGTGGTGTGGGCGGCGCGTGGGCGGACGATTTAATGTGCCATTGCGATTTTAATCATCATTGTATACTTAATCAATATCAACAGTAACTAGTTATTCTCCCACACAATACTACTGATAATTTTACGAAACATGAATAATTTATATGATATTTCATCGGACAATAAAGGTACGCCATCGGTTAGCTAATTGCCGCCACGGGAATACAGCCGTAAACTGAAATCCAGTTTGTTTACATTGACAACATAAAAATGCTCTACAAATAGCTTACACTGATTTTAGATGTTCGTTGTCGAAAAAAGAAACATCAAACAGGAAAATATGAAAGGGGTCCACTAGTCCGCGGGTGCACTAGTCCGCCGTTTTAGGTCATGTTTTGTCATGGTCAAAGGTCACGATCAGACCGGGAAGTCAAAATATTGTTACATGGGTATCAAAAGAACCAGCGAATATTAGAAGATATCGATCAATCGAAACAGCTACCAGGGTTTGAAAAATGCAAGACATATATGGATATCACATAAATCATAATACAGCGGATGATAAAACCTAAATTCAAATACCCAAGATCGGTGCCTATTTTGTCAGTGTGGGTGCGTTACATTTCATTTTGAGGGTGGGTATGTTATGCCATTGTCAGGGTGTGTGCGTGATGTCATTGTCAGGGTGGGTGCGCCGTTACGTTTCATTGCCAACGTAGGTGTGTTGTTACATTTCATTGTTAGGTTGGTTGCATTATGTCAGAGTGGGTGCATTATGTCATTGTCGGGGTGGGTGTGTTATGTCATTGTCAGGGTGGGTGTGTTATGTCATTGTCAGGGTGGGTGCATTATTTCATTGTCAGCGAGGATGTGTTACATTTCATTGTTAGGGTGGATGCGTTAGTATTATTGTCAGAGTTCGATTTTTCAATCGAAAAAATGACAATAATAGATATCGGCGGACTAGTGCACTCGCGGACTATTGAGCATTCGCCGAAAAGATGATGACGTTGCACTTGGATATTTATGCACTTTAAAGAGTGATATAAGGGAATGTTTGTTTGAAACGATAGAAAATATCGATGCAGATTTTGTGATGATGTGGCAATTATCTCATCAGACATAAATGATTGTCATCTAAGTAGGGAAGGTCAATTTTGAGATCATATTATTGATATCATATTTAATGTTAACGGCGATGTAGAAGAAATCGGGTATTTTAAACTCAATTTCATCACAAATACTCGTTTCTCAGTTGAGTAGTTCACATAACGAACGCAATAAATTGACAAATCTTTAACGGTCATGGTCCAAATATTTCTACAGACACACAATACTTAAATAGAGATGACTGATATAGTTAACAGAATTGACTTTTAAAAAAACTATTAGGCGCCTCCGTTCGTACTCCGTTCTAAATTAAAAATTGTGTTCATGACAGAACCA